CTGCATCGTTTCACTGCATCGCTTTCTTTTGTTCGCATTGCTGTAGGACAAGGGCCGTGCTGAACTTCTCTGCTGTTGCGGTTCTTGGGCAGATGCTGATGACAAGTTGTTTTTTGTTTTTTAAATTAACCACTGTTGTTGGATTTCTTTTTGCTCGGTTCCGATGTTGTTAAAGGATGCGTTTTTAAAGGTTTCCAATGGTTTTTATGGGTCGTGGCATGAAGTAGAGGGTTGGTTTTTAATTCTGCTGTGGTGGCTTTTATTAGCGCGAGTGCGCAGTGCTGGTTTCGCTGGGTTTGAGGGAGTGTCCTGTAGTTAATTAGAGAGATTTTAAAAATATCGATCATTTCATTCTTGTTTATTCTATTACAGGCGTTTTATTCATTTGGTTTGTTTGATTGCCGTGTATGTTTTATTGTATTGCGTATAATTAGGGAGCTATTGCTGAAGGTTCCATTTATCTTTCGGCGCCGTGTTTATTTCTAGGTGCTATTTTCGTTTTGATGGTTTGAGGCATTATGGGTTCATTGGCTAAGGAATAATTTTGTTGTTGTTGTTAATTAATATAAGTTGTGGGGTTTGTTTGGTTTTTTTTTACTTTGTAATTTGATGCATTAGGGGGTTCTTTTTTATTCGTTTTATTTCTGGGAATATGGGTATTTATAGAGTGGATTTTTTAGGTAGTTATTTGGGTGGTGATTTTTTTTGTTTGTTTCTTAGTAGTTTAGATTTTTTTTTTTTATATCAGGAATTAGTTTGGTGGGGTTTAAAATTATTTTACAGAGTATTGGGTTCTCGTTATGAGTTAGTGTAGAGATGGAGTTTTGGTTGTTTTTTAGCGACGTTCAGGGTCTGTTGTAGGGTTTGGTGTTTAGTAAGTTAGTTGGGTATTTTTTTTCTTTTTAGTGGTTTTTGTGATTTGCTGTGTGGGTTTCTCTATTTTTTTTTAACTTTTTATTTTTGAAATGTGATAAGAATTGTTAGTGTAGAGAGTGTAGTGGGGGTTTTTTTGCAGTTGGTTGGCTGATTTATTTGGACGGTATTGGTGGACATTTGATGCTGTTTGTTTCGTCATTTTATTTTTAGGAATTGGATTTAAATGGAAAATCATAACTATTACTAAACAAAACAAATCTATTAATATGAAAATGGGAATAGAAAACTTCAATTTTAAACATAAACAGAATACATAGAAACAAAATTTCACTTTTAAATATAAACAGAATACATGTAAATAAAACATGTAACATAAATAATATATATTATTCTAAGATATTATAATGTTTTATATAGAGTATTTTATATGTTTTTATAAATACAAATAGGAATTATAAATATAAACAGAATCCACATAAAATATCAATATAGAAATTTATAATTAATATATGTAGATATGTAAATATAAAATTTACAAAATCATAGAAATCGATACAATGCATAATACATATTATACTGTATATGTTTTAATATAACACATTATATTTCATATATTATTATATATCTGAATATAGTACATCAATATATTGTAATATAATATATAAGAAATTTTAAGTATCAAAAATATATAGAAATACTTATATATAGTTTAAAATAAAGGGGATTTTTATTTTCTATTTGGTAGTAGGTAGGAGGTTTATTATAAAAATTATAAATATAATAAAATTAGAAATCCCTGTATAGAAATATATCATAAACACATTAAGATCTATATAAAAATTTAAATGTAAGTAAATTATAAGTATTAGCAGTATATGTGAAATATAAATAATAATTTATCTATCTTGTTACATTATTATATATATTGTATATATTCACAAATATGATACATCATTATAAACTATAAATGCAAATGTGAATATAATTATGAAAAATATATAAATATTTAAATGTAGTTTTAAAAAAAGGCTTTTTTGGTTTTTATTTGTTTAGAGGCAAGGTTTTTATTTAAAAAATATGAACATACAATTTATTTTGATATAATTCTAAATATAGAAATATATAATCAATATATAAAGATATATATAGAAATATAAAAGATAAATAAATATGAGTAATAAGAAGAGACAGAATATAAATAACACCATATATCAATATACATTTTAAGTGTAAATATGAATATAAATGTGGAAAATAGAAATTAAAAAAAATTAAACACAGTTTAAAAGAAAGGGCTTTTTTTAGTTTTATATGGGTAGAGGCAGGGGTTCTATTTTAAACATTATAAGCCATTTCGAAATAGAAATCTAAATATGTAATCAGTAGATTAAGATGTGTATAAAAATATAGGTAAGAAATTATAAAATTATCATTATGCATCAATATACATTGCATATGAAAACGTGAATATAAAGATGAAAAATATAAAAATACAGAAATACATTGAAATACAGTTTAAAAGAACAGGTGGGCTTTTTTTGGTTGTCCTTGGCTTAGGGGCAGGGTATTTTTTGGTGGCGTTGTTTTCCGTGGGGAATATTTTGGGGGATTTTCCCGAGGGATCGGCCCCGCCCCTTCCCCTCCCCGCTCCGGGCCGGGCGGGCGGCGCTGCTGCCGCCTGGTGGCCACAGCGCGGAACTGCAGCCCGGCCAGCGCCGCGGGTGTCGGAGCTCCGAATGTCCCGCGGGCGTTTTTGGATGTCCCGGGCCCAGGTCAGAAGCATTTGAGACCCTGGCAGGCAGCTGCAAACAGCTGTGATTTTGGGTTTGAGCCATGGAATGATTTACCAACCTTGCAGGAAGAACAAGAAGACACAAAAGTTTAGATGTTATAGTAGAAGTAGCCGAAGTAGAGGGAAGAATTTTTGAGTGCTGTACAGGGGGGCTTTGGTTTTGTACATGGGGGTCAGAGGTTTTAAGATGGATTTGGGATTTGGGCCTGCCCTGTCCTCCCTCTTTCTCCTTCCTCACCTCCATGTCCTTGGTGATGTTGGCACTCACAGATTGGTTTAGAGTAGAAAGACACCATTTAATATAGGTAATAGGCATTGGGATAAACTGTAACCATGTAACACGTAATGTACCATATAAAAGATAGAAAATCACCATTTAATATAGGTAATAGGCATTGGGAAAACTG